GGCTGCTAGTTTTTTTTACTTTCAGAACAAGATCTCTTACTAGTTTCGTATCTGTGCTTCTCATCGTCGGATCTTTTGCTGCGTCGTCATTCGGAAACCCTTCGTGAAGAGTACGGGAAAGCTTTGATCTTGACGAAAAACCCTTGTGGAGATTACAGCCTAAGGCTTCACGTACACTCATCATCAGTATTACTACATAGATTTGACTTGGTTTTTTAAAACATGAGTCAGCTTTCCTTTCGTCACAGCATTTTAGTCATACTCTTGTCACTTTAGTCTTGAGATCAGTGCCCAGTACTGCCTCCTTACGGTGACGCCCCTCCTGTCACGTAATGATAGTTCACCCGGTAGCGGGACCTCTGTATCTCGCAGGTGGTATCTCTTCAGCATGCAAGCGGGTGCTTTAGAATGCTGCTCACCCTAACGAGGACAGCGTCGGTTTGATAACGCATTGGACACAATATGACGCTATGCGCGTGGTGTGAAACGAGCCTACGGACTCTCAGTGTGACGCGTACACTTTGTCTTGACCCCATCTCCGAAAGCCAAATCACCCAGCGCTACCCAGTGGCACACTCCTAAATCATCAAGTGGGTTCTGTAGATTGTGAATCAAAAAGCAAGCTCTCTGGATCTATCGGGAAGCTCAGATTTTCAAACGACGCCAAGAAACCACTATTCGCCATGATCAAGCTGTCTTTCGGCACGCTTTCAACATTCTTCTGCCGCTCTTTGAAATGGATCTGCTTGATTTGTTTCTGCAGCATCGAATTAACTCACTGCGCGTTACTCCGGAAGGGATGGGAAGAACCAGGTCTATCGTCCTTGGGCTCTATGATCAATGACGATGGGAGTCATATTGAGACGGTTGCACGTAAGCAAGTCCATCAACCTTCAGCTTTAAAGAATAAAACTGACGTAGATAGTACCATTTGATTGGAAATTTTGATTGAAAATCCTCTTATTTCTCGACATCAAAGAATTCTCTGGTCAATCAACTTGTCCTTCTGAAACCGTGCTGAATTTCCTGGAATCCGTAACTTACTTTGAGCGCTCTTTCTACCCCTTCTGCAGATGTCGAAGATCAACTCCAACCTATACTCAAGCCATACACAGACACGTCAGATACTTTTCCAATGTCACAAGGAGCCGCTCTGTTGTTGGCTGATCGGGGCTTAAAACAATTTTTGAACGCTCGTAAGGCGAGACTGTCACGTAAAGCTGGGTCCTTATATCAGTCACCTGATCACTCAATATCCCATCAGCCCAATGATAACGACTACCATCTTCAACAATCAATCAATTCACAGGGGACAACTTTGGAACCACCACCAATAATTATCGAGCCAGACTATGAGGGCTGGGTCCCTGAGTCTGAAGTTGTTGCACGAAATCCCAAGAAGCCACGGGTTACTTCACCCGAAGGACCAGCTTCTTTAATCTCCGAAGATAAATCTCGATTGAAGTCCTCGAATCCCTATTATCCCTTGCCCCCACCTATTCCATCTTTCTCGGCTCATGGGCAAAATTCAAAAACAAGGTTCAGCTCTCTCAACGAATTGGACTCCTTTTTGCATTCGGATTCAGATATAGATGCAGGGTCTGTTGGTACCAGGACTATGCCTCACTCATATGAATCCAGCGGCTTTCTCCCAAGTCTGACGCAATTTCAACCCAACCCAATCCATCAAGACTCTTTTGAAAAAGGACATTTAACAATTTCCCCGCCAGATTATATAACCACGTCGGAGCCTTCAGTAATGAATGGCCCACACACACCACAATATCGGGAAACAGTGCTTCTGGACTCACCTACTACTATCACACATACTCCAAACTCTGCAGTAAGCCATGGAGCAGACTTCATCTCACCGACCCGATTTCAAATGAGAAAAACGATTTCCTCTCAGGATGGAAAAGATGCCATGGCTTTTAAGCCATCGACGTCATCTGACTCTCAATTTCAATCATATAACACTGCTAGGAATTCACCAGAGGTTTTGTCGCACAATCACGAACATCCTCGAACCTCCCAACTCTCTGACAGCACACCATACCCTAGAAATCCAACCGATTTGAAATTCGAAATCCCTTTAACACCAATCGGCGACGAAGCATTAAGATCTTTCCACATAGCTTTACGTATTTATCAGAGTTTAGCACGTGAGATCGAGAAGGCAGCTGGCACGTCCGAAGAGGCGGCCTCGTTACCCACAATGGATATAACACATAAATTAGCTGTTACGATATATGACAACCTAATGCTCAAAGAGAGTGAGATCAATCTACACTGGGTACTTCTCAATTTTTTCAAGCAACACGTATGCAGAGGACTTCATCA